TGAGTCAACCCTGAGCCGGTGAGATTTGAACTGCTGAACTGCTGATCTAGCAGTAGCCTGCAGTGCTGCATTTAACCACTGCGCCACCTTGGAAAATTTCCTGATAGCGTGAACAACGAACTGCAGAAGTTGTGGGTGCACCATCCCTGCAGGGTTCAAAGAAGAGATTGGAACTGCCGTTTTTGTCCGGAATTGTGTAGGGTCTCCTGCTTGAGCAGGGGGTTGGACTAGAAGACCTCCAAGGTCCCTTCCGACTCTTTGTTAGTCTGTGCAATCTGACTCGGAGGTAGAGCATCCCGCTCAGTCACGTCACGCCCCTTCGCGGCCGCCGGAAGGCCTGATCATCATCCGCGTGGCTTTTAATGAGTATCCTGGGCCTTGGAAGTAATGCCAGCGGATGCCGTTCAATTTCCGCATGTTGTGGCGAGCCGGATAGTAAATACCGTTCAGGTTGGATTGGCCGCAGGCATCAAACCACCAACCTGTTTCATGGAAGGGTTGGAAAGGTGTCAGTCCTGGATCGCATAGCCACACCATTATTACATTTTGCCCCCCAGAAGATTTTAGGAGAAACCCTCCCATACTATCACCTCTTAGAATACTCGACAACATGGCATCCGCAGTAGAGGCCGTCAAATTTCTAGGTTCTATCATATCTCAAGACCTAAAATGGACACCTAACGTCAAAAGCGCCATCTGTTTCTTTGGAGCTATATTTAAAATTCTGAACAACCAATTGATCCTCTCCATTAGGGAACTGATTTATAATAACCACAAAAAATTATAATAATTCCGCTTTATGCTGCATAATTGAGGCTACACTTCGAATCCTGCATCCAGTTTTGGTCTCCGTGATATTAAGAAAAAAGATGTTGAGATTTTAGAAAGAATGCAGAGAAGAGCAACCAAGATGATTAGGGGACTGGAAGTTGAAATATACGAAAAACAATTGCAGGGATTGGATGTGTCTAATTCAGGCGTGTCCAAATTTGGGAACTTTAAGACTTGTGGATTTCAACTCCCAGAATTCCCCAGCCAGCTGGCTGGGGAATTCTGGGAGTTGAAGTCCACAAGTCTTAAAAGTTCCCAAGTTTGGACACCCCTGGCCTAGTTTGATGAAAAGCAGGAGTAGGGGGTGACATGATAGCAGTGTTCCAGTACAGGTAGTCCTCAACTTACGACCAAAACACAGCCCAGAATTTATGTCGCTAAGTGAGAAATTCATTAAGCGAGTTTTGCCCCCTTTTGTTAAGGGAATCCCTACAGTAGGGATATTAGTTACATGGGTGTTAAGTGGATCTGCCTTCCCTATGGATTTAGCTTGTCAGACGGTCGCAAAAGGGGATCGTGTGACCCCCGAGACTCTGCGAGCGTCATGAATGTCACGTGGGGATGTTGCAACGGTCGTTAAGTGTGAAAAATGGTCATGTCACTTTTTTCAGTGTCGTCGTAACTTCAAACGACCACTAAG